CCCTAAATGCAACCTCCATAAATGCAAGACTTCTCTAAATGCACGGTTTTGCTGTGGCTCTACTATATATACACTTATAGATTTTTACCTCCCTAAATGTAATACTTCTCTAAATACAAAATTTTTGTGGTCTGTATGTAGTGCACTTATGGAGAGTTGACTATACACAAAATAAAAGAGCGTGAGTTTCTTCTACTATAATCAAATAAAGCTATACCAGAACTTGCATACTACTAAGTTTTCTTGGTGAGTGATAAACTCTGAGCTTGTCAGCAGATAGTGTATGAAAACTATCTCTAAATGACAAATGCCGTGCCTGTCGCTACAGTAAGTGATAAACTCTAAAAAAATTAGCAAGATAGCATATAAGAACTATCTCTAAATGATAGTTGCTATCCTAAGGTCTTTTTTCACACGTCTTATCACGTCTAGTATAGCTATTTGTATTTTTTTCTAGTAAAAGTTTTTTGGAAATTTTTGATACAAATAATTGTCAAAAAGAGTTCATTTATATTATTATTATATATATATATATATATTTTAATTCTTTGACAGTCTTGCTAGTTCTCTATTTATTTGAGACTATATTTTAGGTGAGAGTTGAACTCTCTTGAACAATACAAATCATTTATAACCATAACAGGGAGTCTCGCGATTGCAAACCTGACATCACCTGGCTGCAATAAAACGTGCCTATATGCAACTTGTCGCACCAACCTGTATATAAGTTAGATAAACTTTGTCAGCCTATCAAAGCTTTTCCCTTCATATTCTCTTTTTTTACCAAGAGCAAAAGAAAGTGATGATCTTATATCCGATACAAAACCACTGATAATACCAAGAAAACAAAACAGAAAACTAACTAAAAAAGAACAAATAGAATGAAGGAGAATTCTTAAAAGAAAAATAAAAGGGGTACAATGAAATGTAAAAAAAAAAAAACAAAGAGAAAAGCCCGAAAGCCAACAAAGAGGAGAACTATCTCTATCAAGAAGTAGTACAAATGGAATGAAAGAAAAAAGAAAAGTACACTATTATAACTCATGCCAGGTTTAAAAAAAAATTTTATAACAACTGCAACGTTTGTATATCTTGACTATAAAATTTAACAAATTTTTATCCAACTACCGGCCACCTTTGGATGTTTCTTTTGTCAGAGACCCGATCCTAGTCACATAGAGGACCCATATCCATAGACTACATTACGTATCATATCTATCGATAAATAAGGCACGTGGTTGCATTCCTAGGTACGTCCGAATTTGGGAGGTAAACAATGCCGATCTTTTAGAGAGGGTAAGCCAAATCGTCCACTTTTTGTTGAAAAATTTTAGAGAAGACTGGCCAAGTGAAAAACATCTAGAGAGAGACCACTTGCACTCAAGGAAAATAGTTATATCCATATAAAGACTTAACAATTCCTAAACCTTTTTCTAGAAAAAAGGTGGGGCATCTATACTCTTTTTTCAGTAAGTGATAAACTCTGGGCTTGTTAGCAAGTAGTGTATGAGAACTACTTCTAAACGACAAGTGCTGTACTTGCAGTGAGTGATAAATTCTGAAGAAGTTAGCAGATAGCGTATGAGAACTATTTCTAAATAACAACTGCCAACTTATAGCAACTAGTATGCCCTCCGTGTTTTACTAAATGCTATTGTGTTTTTACAAAAAAATGTGTTTGAATTTTTTGATACAAATGATCTATTATTATTATATTATATTATTAGTTATTATTATATAGTTATATTTATTAGTATAATATTAGTTATTATCTTTATTATTGTATTAGTTATAGAAATATTATTGGCTAGTTATGTATAGCACAGTAATGCTATACGAGTACCTCCAAGTGTCTCTGTATGAGTGCCTTCAAGTACCTCCAAGTGCTTCTGCATGAGTGTCTCCAAGTGCTTCTGCATGAGTGCCTCCAAGTGCTTCTGTATGAGTGCCTTCAAGTGCCTTTGTATGAGTGCCTCTGTACAAGTGCCTCCAAGTGTCTCTGGATGAGTGCTTCTAAGTGCCTCTTATACAGTTTAGTCATTACACCTCTTATATGTAGAAAAGTTATAAAAAGGGAGTTTTTGCCCCTTTTACTCAAGTTAAAAAGTTCTCTACTCTTTCATAGAATCTAGCCTTATCTCCTTACACTTTTTGTTCTTATATAAAGTGATATACTCCCTCTAGACTAATCCTAGTAGATGAAGTTATCCTTCTTAATCTATAATAAATAAAGTATTAACTTAATATACTAACCTAATGCCAAACTGTTGCCTCCTACTAGTGGAAGTAGTACACATTTCACTTTCACCCCGTGTACACCCCAATAGCAGAGTCCCTACACCAGGTAACTTTGTTATCTTGCTATGTAGTATCCAAGAAGACTATAGCATTGTAACAATACAAATATTGCAGTTGTTATAAAATTTTTTCTTAAACTTGGCACAGGTTATAATAGTGTAATTTTCTTTTTTTTTTATTTTATTTGTATTATTTTTTAATAAAGATAGTTCTTCTTTTGTTAGCCCTCAAGTTTTTTTTTTGTTTTTCTTTTTTTACATCTTATTGTACCCTCTTTTATTTTTTCCTTTAAAAATTCTCTTTTGTTCTATTTGTTTTTTTTAGTTAGTTTTTCATTTGTTTTTTTGATATTATTAGTGGTTTTGTATTAGATATAAGATTATCACTTTCTTTTGCTCTTGGTAAAAAAAGAAGAATGAAGAAAAAATCTTTGATGAGCTGACAAAGTTTATCTAACTTGTATACAAATTGGTGTGACAAGTTACATGTGAGTATGTTTATCACAGCTAGATAATGTCAGGTTTGCAATTATAAGACTCCTTGTTTAGGTTAGAAATGATATGCATGTATTGTTCAAGATAGTTTACTGTTACCAAATATAGTCTTAATAAATTGAGCACTAGCAAGACTGTCAAAGATTTAAAAAAAAATACATTATAGTTTATTGTAATTATATATATTACAATCTTCTAGATCTAATAAAAATAAAATATAAACTATGTTTTTTAAAACTACTATATAAATATAACATATTTAGAATAAATAGTTTTGTTATAAATATGAGAAGTAATGAGATGTGATGACTTAGTGTAGTAGTCTAGTCATTACCCTCTCCAAGTAGCAGGTCTAGAGTTCAAATCCCACTGACGATGATATTTGAAAAATAGATCTGTGTTCGGTTGATAGCTATGCTTATTGGTTGGATCTAGAACTAAATCTGTAACTTTAGTTACACTATCTTGTAATAAAAACTTTGGCACAATAAATTTAAAGAACTAGCATAACCAAAAACCCATTTGGGAAGTTCTGAATTTGGATATAACAGTAATCTTTGATAGTATCACAGGAGGGCTGAATTCGAACCAGGGCCCAAAATTGGAGAACCAAGCGACCAGGTACCAAAAGTGCACATATGGCTTGATGTACCTTTGTCTAAATGTATAGTGTCTGAACTCAACTTAATAAAAATCACCGACCAAGAAGGTCTCTTTTAATTAAAAAAAAATAAATAAATAAATATGAGAAGTGAGATAGTTGTAGATTATAATAGTAATATCTACACTTGAACTATCTGTACAAGACTAGTAGTAAATAAAAAATAAGATTAAATATAGTTTGATTTTGGTTAAACAGATAATATCAAGATTGTTAGCTAAACAATATTCTTTTTAAACTTCTTGTTTTAATTTTTAGTTAAAACTATAAATATTGTAAGTACAAATTGAAAGGTTAAAAGGAAGAAAGATAAAGTTAAAGATAGAGTTTATAGTTATAAAAATTGGGTTTAAAAGATCTAAGAGAGATAAAGAAACAAAAATAAACAATTTCTAAATAAGGTATAATAATATGACTAAATAAAAAGTAGAGCTCTCCAGGTAAATAAATATATATTTCACTATAATTAGATTTAATAGATATAATGATGTTTTTTTGAAAATTACTCACAGTTTATTGAAAAATAAATATAAAAAAAAGAAGATAAGTGTCTGGAAAGATAGTATTGATAGAAGGCTGTGTGATATAAGAAATCAATTAAAGCAAATAAAAGATTTATAAAAAATGGTAAGAATTGTAACTAGAATCTTAGGGATATCTTCTATGGTTTTGCTCACCATATACCCAGCCCACAAGAATTAGAAGTACTCTGGTTGGACATTAGAGTACTGTCATTATCTAATTCTTCCGGGTATTATATATTTTATTAATTTTTACTTATTTATTATATATTTTTTTGAATTCTTTTAAATTTTAATATAAAAATTTTCAACTCGAAATTTTCATACTAGTATTTAAGGTTAGGGGCGTTTTTGCTTAGAGCATCTTGCATTGATTAATTAATCAGTTTTTGAGATAATATATTACCATTGATGAAAAGATATTCAAGCATTACTTTACATTCTTTTACACACCAAATATAAAAAATAATGAATTCTCAATAATAAATTTCTAACCGACCCGAAAAATAGCTACTTTAAAATGACTTTCGCTAATAATTCATAAGCTGATTCTATAAATAACGTTAATTTCATGCTATTCCAATATAAAACCAATTTCTTTTAAAGAACGTGAAAATCGCATCATTTTGGCAACGATGCAAACACAAATTAGTTGGAAAAGAATGGTATAAGAATAAATTTCTAAATTAAAAATTACTATTTCAATAACCTAATAAAAATTGCACTTTTTGTCAAGAACTCAATCAATTTTACATGATTTTAAAATTTGCCAGATGTTAAGAGCGTGATCAGACATAACTAGCCAACTTTTTTATTATTATTAATAAGTCCATATAACACGTGGCATCATTATATATATGATGGGCTATATACTGTATATACTGGCCCAGTTAGGATCAGATGCGATATAGCAAATTTGTTATATAAAGTTATATAAATAAATGTAAGTTCTTTTGAATCTTATAGCTCGTTATAGGAAGGATTCGTATATAGAGGATTGTATAAAAAGTGACTATGATGTATTTATCAACCATAGTTCAGGCGAAAGATATCGTTAAGAACATAATAGGATGTGCCATCAGGAATAAGTTGAAAGAATTGTGCGAATCTTTGCGGTTGATCGTTGTCACTCTAACATGAATTCAATTATTTTCATAAATCATGAACTATTTTTAGCTATAATTAAAATAATAATAATAATAATAATAATAATAATAATAATGTTACCTGTAATGCGCCAGTAACACAAACAAAAATGCCACCGTTAAAATTTGGTTGAGCGTCTACGGTATCCACTTTATGCTGAACTCGCTGAAAAGGTAGAGACTGATCAATTCATTAAAAAGGAAAAAAAAAGTAATTAATAAAGCAATATTTTGAATGAATTATTATGAATGCATAACCAGAACTATATTACCGTCAATTTTTCAATGATGTTGTTTGCACCTTGAAATGGTTGTCCTTCGAATGTTAACATTGATTGATCTCTCTATGAAAACCATAAGAATATTAATTATCCGAAAATATTGATTGATTTCATTAGGAATATGAATTTTAGTGTGGGATCCACGCGTTCTCAATTATTAAAGAAAAGTAATGCTTATTCGACATTATGAACATTTTGGATATTCCAACTGTTAGATTAAGTACTCTCATGTAGTGTGTTCCGATTCATTATTAAACATTACTATTAGACAAAGTACTTTCATGTAGTGTGTTCCAATTCTTTATTAAACATTTGGATATCTACTATTAGACAAAGTGCTTTCACGTAATGTGCTCCAATTCATTAAAAACCTTCTATCAAAATAGTTTTGCTAAGATATGTGACTTACATAAAGTGGTTTGAGTTGTTCTCGGGCAGTGCAAAACAAGTTATAATAATAATTGGTAAACTCTGTTGCGATCTGCGTAGGATCCATTTTTTTTTTAATGAGAAAGGTGAAAGTACTGTACGTAGTAAAAATGAATGATATATGGTTAGATTTTATAAACTGATATCTAATTGGCTATTTTAAACGTATACAGTGTAATCGTGATTTTTGTAAAATTTGATTGGTTAATAAAAAAATGTGTAAAAAGACAAGCCACGGAGCATTTAGGGTTAGGGTTTAGGGTATAATTTATACGTAATAAACATGTGGAGTCAAATACATTTACAAAATATTATTCAAATATAGTATTGTTAGCGAATGAATTATTAACTTTAAATATGTAAGAGATTTTGATTTTTAATGTGAGTAATTTGACGAAATGATCGAAATCGAACCATTTTTATCAAATTCGTTTCTCTCGAAAATCACTCAGTTCAAGACAAGATATTAATCTACCAGTATCGGTATTAAATTAAATATGCCACGATTTTGTTAAGTGCATTTCTCCCTATTTGTTAAGTTGCGAGTTTCTTTGAATATATCAATTTTTAATAAGTAATGTTACGATATAGTATTGCATAATTTGATTGAATAATCTACATATCAACCTAACTATTACTAATTACTAAAGCTAAATCTCGTGTTGAAATGACTTTTTAATAACTCGAACAAGTAGTGAAAATAGCTAACTTATTTAGAACAAAAAGAATATCTTTATGCTGCTATAGTTTACAACTACGGTGAATAGCTCTCGAAGATAATTATACGTATCAGTCATGAAATATCCTATAATAGCATTTCAAGAGGTAATGAGGTCATGAAAATTTGTTTTAGCGCGTGCATAAGTATGTATCTCTGGTAGAAATTGAGCATTGCCCTCTCTTGTATTTACCGCAAGATTTGCTATTGTTGCCAAATTAAAGGAGCAATAATTTAACAATTATTTTCTAATAAGAATTACAGGTTTTCCCTTTACGGCACTCAAAATGATTATTTATTCTTACTTGGCATTCATGATTTAACTTCAAATAGTCACATTAAGATAAACCGATTGTTCGATGCATAATCATCAAAGGATGTAGTCGTCGAATATTATTAAATTTGACCGGATCTATTATCGTTATGTCGAATATTAGTATATAGTTAAATTCAACAAGTTATACTGTTTAACCTATTTGAGGATTTTATATTCTTTTTCAGAATTACCACATGATTGGACAAAAATTGCATTTGGCTATAATTTTTTCAAATTCCGCAGTTTATTACCCTTTTTTGTTAATAATTGTATGGTATGTATACATTATACGTACCGGTACGTACCTTTTTATTATATTTTTTTAATTCCGCAGTTTACGTACCCGTTCCAATAATTATTATATACCACAAAAATATATAATACATACATAAATTTGGTACGTATTATAAATATATATATCTGATATGTTTTAAGTTATATTTACGATGTGACTCATAATTCCGTAATCATGTGTCAGTAACATACATGACTTTATATATACTATAGAATATCACAGAAAGTATTACGTACGTGCGTATATACGTATGCTGATTTGCTAAAAAGTAAATTTATAGAAAGTTAATCATTGCCGCAGTCAAGCCAGATTACGTCAATTAATAATAAAAACTCCGAGTTTTGTATATAATATCCCTTTAAAATCTTTTTTCTTATTTTTGCGTGCTTATACTGAAATATTCTGTTCTGAGGTCTTATTCTTTTATCCTTTCAAGTCTTGTTTATTTTAAAGTGTTATTGAATAATACGTAAATAAAAATGAGGTCAAAATTCAAGGACGAACATCCCTTTGGCAAGTTTCATCTTTTTTATTTTCAAGTGAGCATTCCTAACCCCTATGACTTCATTTCTCTTATGATTTGATTGTCTTTTTCTATAAATAAAAACAGAGAAACGCAAGGCTGAAGCTGAAAGAATTAGACAAAAATATCCTGACAGAATTCCGGTACGTTAATTTAGAAAGGCGCAGTAAGCGACCAAAATTTAGCTTGCCATTGACTGGCTGAGTACTCGTTAGGTGGTTCAATCAACTAATTTATCATTATTAAATAAAACATAGGTTATTTGTGAGAAAGTTGAAAAATCGGATATTGCAACAATCGATAAAAAGAAATATCTTGTCCCCGCTGATCTCACGGTTGGCCAATTTGTCTATGTAATTCGAAAGCGGATCAAACTGAGCCCTGAAAAGGCTATTTTTATCTTTGTTGATGAAGTTTTACCACCTACTGCTGCACTAATGTCGAGTATTTATGATGAACGTAAAGATGAGGATGGTTTCTTATATATAACGTGAGTACTGTTCATTTATGGTTCGTTCTTTTTATTTCTTTAATAATAATTTTTTTTTTTTTACTGTACAATAGATATTCAGGAGAAAATACTTTTGGCATCGAAATGGAGTAGATTAATTACTTACTCAATTTAGTATTCGGACATTAAAATAATAATATCTCGATAGCAATCTTTTGCGCAGTAGTGTTCTTTTTTTTTTTTTTTTCGTTTTAATCCACTCATTTTTACATTTACGTATTCGCTTCTTACATATTTATGGGTATTTTTTTATTTCGTATTTTTTTATTTTAATTATAAATGCGGCCTTTAATTATCAAATAAAACGTACTTTGTAAGCAAATAATGTCTTATGAAGAACTTTTGCTATTTGTAGCTCCTAGAAATGATAAAGTTCTTAAAAGTGGATAAAACGATTATTCAAAACATTCTAATTGACCGACTTTTTTTTATTTAAATATCGCAAAAAAATATGCGACCATTTCTTTTAGAGCAAAATTTAAAATTAGTGTTCACGAGTCAACCAACACGTTGAGAGATTTTACATACTTTAAAGCTTTGTTATTAATATAGTCACATGTTTTAAATCTACTTACATTTCTCGTAGTTATATCACAAGTTAATAAAGCTTAAAAAAAGTTGGAGATACAAAATAATATGTATGATGTAAGTAAATGTATTGGACGGAAGTATCATGATCAATGTTGAGCACTGGACTGGAACTGCAGTTGGACTCATTAATTGGTACATCCAGTCTAGTGCGACCGGATCTACTGGGCTTAGTACAGCAGTGCCCAACATTGAATTCTAATCATGTCTTTTTGCTTTTTTGTCATGATAAATGTGATTCAACCATATTTCAGTACCAATTGCTTGATAATGTGACCGAGGGGAGGAAAAATGGTGATATATGTGATGACCACCCTGATGAAATTGTAAAAGAAAAAAGATTAAGATAAATTTGTAAAGAACTGAATTTAATAAAGTTAAAATTTAATAAGTTACAATACCGAGATAGCAATAAACTGAATTTCAGATTTACATTCTAAAAACATAATTAAAGAATTAATTATGCAGAAATAATAAACAAGAATAAAAAATTCATGGACAAATACTTTTCTTGTATTCTTCAACAAAACGATTAGACGATTCGATAGGTATAAAATCATCACGATCACCATGAAACACTAAAAATGGAACTGCATCCTCTCGAAGAAGATGCTTTGGGGAATGTTTTCTTAAGAAAGATTCATCAGTCGTTGGTGAATCGACATATTTTTCAGAAAGATCTGTAACAGCATTTATTAATATACATGCTTCGACAGAAGTGTCCAAATTTTCAAACCCAGGTTGGAATTCTGACACATTTGGTGTTAATGCAACTAAATAAATAAATAAAATAAAATAAAATAAAATAAATAGTTTAATTACAAAATCTAAATATATATAAAGTAAAATTAGCTAACATGTGTTTTGTACCTGTAGCAACAGTTTGTCCAGCAACGCCATCACCTTAAAAACAATATTTAAATTAGCTATTTTCGTATAGAAGAAGGGTCTAGTAATGTAACATACCACCAACCGCGACGAAATCAGGATCACCACTAAAATACTTGATGTTTGTTTTTATCCATCGCAGAGCCCGTTTCGCATCATATAATCGGGCGGGATATTTTGGCCTACAATTTGCAGAAACTACAACCTAATATAAAAATAATCTTTTTTAATTATCAAGAATTGTCTGTAAAAATTATGAAAAGAAGTTGTAGTCACAATTACCCATCCACGTTCAGCCAAATGACGAATTATTGGATATACAGCGCCCTTTCCTATCCATCCACCACCAGGAATAAATAACTGATTTAAATAAAACTTTTAATAAATCAATTTTTAAGATTCCAATCCAATCTTTATTTTTAATAATGTACACATTACCAAAACTGGTTTCAGATTAGAAGATTTGTGAGCAAACACATCCAATGTCAAATCATTGATTTGTTCAAATCCATCTTTTTTAGCCTCTTCCGACTCTGCATTAGTGACATAACTGACTAAGTAATACATATTTAATGGTTAATATAATTATCTCAAAAAATTAAAAAATAAACAAAAAAAGGGTGAAAAATTCTAAATCACTCACTATCAGCATAATGAACGACATTTTCAGGAATGAAACGTGGATTGACCATGCGTTGCCAAAATGTTTCACTATATTTTCATGATAAAAAACTTGATCTATTCAATGAAGAATGTAAAGGCTTAATTACAGTATATAAATTATAAATGAATACCTAGTAAACGTTGGTAATTCTTGACTATCAGAATAAGATTGAATAGCAATTTCGATATTGCGCCTAGCTTCATATGCGTCAATAAAAATAACCACAAGTCTTTATATAGATAATGAGCGTTAATCATTAAATATCGTAAAAATTTAATAAATAGATCTTTTGAAATAAAAAAATTTAAGTTCTTTATATACCCAACCATAGTTAAGAGGTCAATAATGTAAAATATTTGGGGAATAATGCCTCCTATCAAAATTTCATAATTTCATAACAAAGTTTATTGTTAAGAACCAAAAAGAAATATTTCATTTACGAAACAAGCTTACTGAAAACACCAAGAGCAGAAGCGATAACAATTATGACAATTTTAAGTGCTATGACGGGTAACGGCCATTCAGAAATCAAAGAAAAGCCAATAACTGTAAGGCGTTGAAGTTGAGGGACCTTGGGTAATTTACCCTCAACACTGGCATAAGTGAGACCCGCGACAAGAAGAACTGAAGCGTAATAAATAATTCCGAAAACCATAATTGATGCATAAAATAAGTTTGCAAGTTAAAGCTTTTTTCTTGAAAAAATTGTTAAAAATTCACAGTCACATGATCAGAATGTCGATCTGACCGGATCGAAAAATGAGAAAAACGAGTGCTTGGGTCATAGACAGAAATTTGTCTGATTGGCTAGTTTTTAGATCGATTTGTAAATCTACACGTGATTATTACCCAATCAA